AAAGATATCAACATGAAATGAACAAACCTAAGAGAGGTCTACCCAAGGTACATATATACACCAAGTATCAAAGCATTCAGGCTTGTAGTTTTCAAGAAGAAGTCGAAAAAGTAAAACATTGACACGGACGACGACGACGACTGACAATCACTCATATGATAAGCTCCGCTCGACAAAGTCGACAGCGGAGCTAAAAATCTTTTAGTCATTTTCAGACAAATTTCCATAAAATTATTTCATACAAAATTACTATTATTCAGAGTAATTTTCTAATAATTAGTGACTATGGTAAATAACATAAAGTCAAAATTGTATGATTGTTTGGTCTGCGATTTGTGTGTAAAGTAGTTTGATGGTAGTATATTTTTATCTGGGTTTGTGGATAGCTGCATAAAATGCAACCAAAATTGCTAGCAAATCTAATTATCTGTTTTAATGGTAGGTAAATAACTACGTTATAGTAACAAAAATTATATTTCTACATACCTTCTTGTGAATAAGACCATTGTATCGGAATGAATTCTTGTTTGTTAGGTTGTTTGGTTCCTGTGAAAGAAAAAACACATCAGAAACATATCTGAGAATTCATCGATTTGCTGAAATTGCTCGATCAAGACACATACATTTTAAAATAACCAGGAAATCATTACTTGCTACATGTAGTAATGTGGTAGTACAAATGTATCTTCTGAAATGTAAGACGAGCACAGAGTGAACAAAAGTTTGCTCAGGTGGTTTATTCTACCACTACCGAATTCAGATTATTGGTGGCCATATGTCGCACATAACTAATGTACAACTACTGCTATGGATGCAGCACAAACAATCATCCTGTAAGCCCCATGTAAGGGTTAAGCTTTCTTTATTACCAAGTAATAATTCCATGGCCAAAGCTATGATATTTGTAATTACCTTTGTGAAAACTGTACGATTCCCTTTGACAAGAAAACTGGAACAGTCTCTAATGATAAACCACTGGATATCTGGGGAACAGGACACCATGGTGACAAGTAATCTAGTCCTGAAACGACAGTACATTACAATGTTAACCATTTGAAAGATTTACTTTTCTGTAAGTTTTTTATAGGGTTATAGGTCTTATGATCAAACGTAATTAAATACAAGTGATTTCAGACAAAATTTAGCTGCATCACAACACCTTCAGTTAAAAAATCTCCATGTTCTTATTTGAATGCTCTAACAAATCTCTGAATCTTGATAAAAAAAATAACCAGATTTTTAAGCGTACATTTTCTAGTACATTTCATGTACAAGGTTTGCAGCTGTTTGGCCTGTGTACACTTGTGTAATTCAATGCATCAAAAACAGAATGGCTTTAGTGTAGCACAGGTTAAAAAAAAATTACAATTAACTGCTAATTTGCATAATAATCTTTAGTCTTATTATCCTTGCATCAAAATTACTAATATATACTAATGCAAGCAAACTGCTGTTAACCGTAAAATTTTTAAAAACACAATCTTGAGAATGTCACTGTGACTGCATAAATGAGTGGACAAATTTGAATTTATCCATCTTTTTGGTATATTAGCTAGTATTGTGTGTTGGATGAACAGTTTTAAGGTTATAAAATTCACTAAGAAGTACAACAAAGTTTGTAAATCAACAACCGAGAGTTGCACTATTTTCCTATTATTACTGTCAGTGTGGAGGGAACATGTAACCCTGAAATGAACACTAATGTTACAAAGGTACTGGACTTGAAGTACACAACAACCCCTAACCCTAATAATACACCACATGGAGCAATTCTAAAACACTGACGCGTTTTATGTAATTAAAAATGGCATTCCTGCGAAGATTGTTACGCACGTCTATTCTACACAAATGTTTGATCAAGTTAGTTGGGTCAATTCGCAAAGAGAGAGTAAATGCCATTTGTGGTATAACCGAGACTGTATTATTTATTTGGCCGTCAGAAAACACAAGCAGATTTAACTTCGAAGTATGCACATAAAATAAGCCACAGTTCTTCCAACTAACAGCAGGGCTGGTATATGGTAAACTGAACAAAAGGTTGTAAAATATTTACTGCAAATATGTAAGTATTAATGTCAGTATTGTACAAGAAACACCGATAATCGTAGACACGAGGTTGATCTCACCTTCCACAGGGCAAAAAGGAAGTACTACGGCAAATTTCCTGGCGTATTAATTTTATGCGCACTGTGAAATCTCGCCCAACTAAGGCGTTACTTGCGCACAAAAAACTGCAAACTGTCAGGTAGATCATTGCATATTTTAATTATAAAAATTGTGCAAACATTTCTGAAATTGATTTGAAATAAGTGTTATTATAGTGCCATTTTATCTCATGCGGATTTGTTAAAAATATGAATTGGTTGTGACGCGTGACCCATGGTATTGTGGGTATTTTTTAAAATGTCTGCCCCTTCATTCGTGGTCTGTTTTCTCATTTGAAAACTGATTCTTCCCCGAAATTAATTCTTTGTTTGATTATTATCGGTTAAAATAATGGCCACGTGTTAGATTGATTGATTGATCCCGGAGGTCTATTTTAGGTGACCCGAAGAGCGACAGTCTTCTCAGGAATTCTTAGGACGACGTTAATCGTCATCACAGGGTAAGCAAATCAAATCAAATATAAACGTAAATAAAAAAAAACATGTTAGTTGTTACACGTCAGTGTACCAGACTACAAAACAGAACATAACAACAATTTTTCTCCCTGGATTTTTGATAGAATGACAGTCTGATTTTCGAGAAGGGACTACTCATTCATGTCTGTATGACAATATTTTGTATTCGCATTTCCCCACATATTTGACATTAATTGTGCAGTGTTATTGTTTACCACCTTCAACTTTCGGTTCACAAAATCCCAAGCCCACCTCCAGTTTTCGAATAGGGGAAATCCTTAAACAAGAAAGATAAGTAAGTGAATCCTAAAAATAAATCAGCTCAAATCATGCACAGCACAAACTTTATGTTTGCGGAGGAATCAAACCCTGCTGATTTGTTATTCCAAATAAGAGTTGGGAATAGCCCCTTGAATGACAAAAATTTACCAAAATAATCCTGTATGTTATCTCTATGTATTATTTTTATATGTTGATCAAGACCTGTGCCCAATGGAAAGTAAATGTTTAATTTGGTCCAAAGATAAACAAAAAAGAAATAGAAAAATATATAAAAATTTACAAAAGTTACACAGTTTATTTATTATTATTATTATTTATGCAGTTTAGTACATTTATGTGTTTCAAAAATTAGCAAAAAATGTATGTGGTTTGATAATGTTCATCCTATTTACTGTAAATTTCATTGGTTGATAATACTGATTCATAAGTATCAGGGTAAAAATTAGTTGTGTCTGTCTTCTGGAGGCCATGTGATATGGTGAATATTCATAATATTCATAATTATCAAATATTAATTTGCATAAAAGTATGCATGTACCAAATTTCAACACATTGTTGCAAACTTGTTATGATACAAACAAGCTGAAAACAGTTAATTTTCAAATTAGCCAATTAATACCTAGATTAATTAGAAATGATCTACACAAGCAGCAATCATGTACCAAGTTTCAATGCGTTTGTGCAAATAGATGCTAGGACACGCACTGAAAATGCCAACTGCCTAAGTAAATATGCAAATTACCTACATTTGTACTTGACATGTTCAGATTTGTATCAAAATCTAATCAGATCTGGTGATAAAAATATAGTAGCTGTGTTTAAAGTTTCTTTTTAATCCAGCATTTTAATCAACACAGGCAGGGTGACAGACATCGGTACAACATCACCTCCCATTTGTTCACATTAGAGCTAAAATTGGTGTGGTAGTATGTTACATGTACATCATACTGCATTTAATTAGTATGTCGTCCTGACAATATTTTGACAATGTTTCTTCTTCATTTCAGGTAAGTTTCATTTTTCGCCCAGTTTTTGTAAACCGTTAAACCTATGTATAGTGACAGGTAGTCTTTATACGAAGTTTGGATTATATTTTTTATGGACCAACAAACGATATAATACACATATTTGTCAAAAAAATAATGAGATACTAGTAAGTAAGTAAGTAAGTATTGTTGCACCAAAAACACATTTATTTGCATTGATCTAAATCAAATAAGTTTAACTTGAGGAAATTAGAAATTGTTTGACCGGGTATAAACAGAATGTTACTACCGTAGTCCGTAGTAATTATTATTTTGATCTCTAAGCAAAGATGAATATGTGAAAATGTTGCTGAAAGGGTGGTCACATAAGACAGGTGGTCTTTATACACAGGTTGCTCATATGTTAAATCTTTATATTGTCTAAAAGGGATCTCTATAGCAGGTGGTCTTTATATAGGGGTGGTCACTATGGCAGATGGTCTTTATATAGAGGTGGTCACTATAGACAGGTGGCCTTTATACACAGGTTGCTCATATGTTATGTCATTGGATTGTTTAAAGTGCCTGTGAAATGGTTGCTTTTTTCACGCCTAAAATTATCCATTGATACATAAATATTATTAATTTTTATGTTTCTAAGCATGAATTATTTTTTTTCAAATGAAAAAATGTGTTTTAAACTCAGTCTATGGCAACTTTTTTTTGTGTATTTTAAATGAGGCTCCTCATTAGCTTCTCATTTGCATACAGAAATTCCCCTTGTGACGTCTTGTGCAGTTTTCTTGTCTTTGACTAAATTGTCACTTATGTACTTGTTCGTCGAAGAAGAATGGACCATAATGAACACATAGTATCAATTTTTGTTGCATGGGGTTGAGTTAGATGCGAAATATGTCCATTTTGGTGTAGCTGGTCACCGTGATCGACACCGACGCACGTTTATACACTGTGCTGGACAAAATAGAATTTGACGTCGGAATTATCTTGTTATTTAGCAGGTTACTAGACACGTCACTACACTGTTTTATTTCATCGATCGTCTGAGTAAAATTTAAAACTTTCAAATTAAAATAAAGAGA